ACGGTCGAGGAGGGTCCTCAGTAATACCGGTACGAGCAACGCCAGCACACCGGCCCTATTCAGATCAAGAAAGGACTTGATTGAGCCATCCGTGTCCCACTTTATTCGCCGTCACAACTTTATCGCCCCCCCCGCACTATCGCGATGCCCCTCGACCCTAGACCCGTCACAAAGAAGCAAGGGGTGCATATCCCCGCTCTATCTCGGCGTGCAACATCCGGAGAAAACCCTCGCGAGAATCTCGCTTTTTGTGCTCTCGCTCGGACTGCCTACGTAAAGAATGTACGGTTATCACGAAGAAGACCAGGGAGGGGGCACGCAGACCCTAACCCTAACCCCAAACCCAACAAAGCCGGTTGTATTCTTCATCCAATATGTTTGCTTACTACTTACATCACCCTGCGTAGACTACTGTCTCGCTCAAGGCTCNCCCCCCCGGGGGGGGGGGTGGCGTGACCAGCCGAGGGATCTCCCGAAAAAGGAAGGGAGTCGGCACGTAGGCCAGCAACTGCGTGGCCACGTGCCTCCTCGACTGGAGCAGTTCCTCCGCCCGCCGCCTCCGAAACTCCTGCCGGGGGATGGCGCTTTCCTCACAGTACCAGTCCTGCCCATGGTTTGTGGTGTCGCAGAGGGGGCGAGTTGAGAGCGAAAACTTCAGGAGAAAGCGCCCTGCCTAGGTTCTGTGCGCCCTCGGTAAAAAAGTCGAGTGATGAAGTAGGGTTGGGGTAGGGTGAGGCCGCTTTTGGGAGGGGTGACAAAGCACGTGGATGGGGGGATGGGGACGGAACATTGTGCGGGGGAACGAATTGTATTGAACTCTCGAGGATCGCCAAGCAATCACACGAGCCTCAGGGAGGCGATAGCGGGTGCTTATCTGCACGGTCCAAGGGGTTGAAGGGGAGGAAAGCACCGTGATACAGGACGAGCAGTGCGGAAGAGAAAGACGTACTACTCAAGCTACCAAATCAACAATACACTATTGGCTCTTGCAGCGGAAATACGCGATTACGCAAGTGGTATACTCTAGTATGGTATTAATGACGGGCTGACAAAGGGCCAGCGGCAACTGATGCGCCCGTGTTTCGAGTATTTCTCACCACGAAATCCGACACATCGCAGCTACCGCCCGGTTCCGCAGAAACGAGCATCCCCTCCTGCACCATACCCAGCCTGACGGTTTCGTCGCTCATCGCCGCCGACACCTCCCCGTCCAAAAACGCTTTCCTTTGCGGCGGAATCCGGGTCGCGTCCGGGGGGCAATACCAAGCGGAAAACTTCTCCCACCTACTCGGATGTGAGTAAAAACAGACATCTGTGAGTCTCTTTGGTGGGTCTCTTGCCTGGACTCCATCCACAGGCTCGAAGCGACGCTACAAACGACGAGCGATTTGCTGCAGGGCGTACACAACTCAGTTCGAGGAAATGAGATATTCGTTCCTAACATGTTGAGGGGTGCATCACTCGTTGAGGAATGCATCGACACCATTGACTTGTCTTTTACGTCCTTTCCCCTCCGAAGTGTCGAGAAGAAGAGGGTAGACAGTTATTTGAGACCATCCCTCTCCACCCCGCAATCACAACATGCACTCATGTTGTGGTTACCGATCACCTTACAGATATTGTTATTCTGTGCTGAGCAACTACTACCGCGTGAGTGCTCAGCACGGAAACGCTAGACAAGGCGAGGTCCTCCCTGACGACGCAGGCCCCACCGAAAAAATCCAATACTATCACTGAATGATCCGGGTACATGCAGAAGACAAGAACTCCATACAGCTATTGTCGAATGAAATTCCGAACTTGTGCAGCTAGCAACATGTGTTCTGTGATACACACGCGGCTGATGTTTTTTGAGAGAACGAATCGGAACTCGAGTGCCTTCCCTTGGCTTCGAAGTGAGGAGGGCAAAGTCGAGACTATCGAGCCACTCCGCAACTGTCCGAGGACGGCGGTCTAAACAGAGAGCGCGAGCTACTTGAATTGATTCACAGGTGGCAACGGAAAACTGGGAGTCGTCACACACCCACAGGGTCAATTTTCACGGCTCGATTGCTCCTCAACCATGAGGGCATCGATGCCGGAAAGGGTAGCGTTGGAAATATTTTCGTCGAGAGCTGTCCTCGCGCGCATCGCTTGGTTTTCGCACCCGCATCTTAGGAGAAGTCGAGCTTTGAGCTTCGACGTGTGATAACTTTCACTTTTGCCGGTGCCGAAAAATACGTATCCGTTTCCCTGGACTCCGTGGCGATTCAGGCAAATAGACGGGCAGGTTATATATCTATTCACACGGTACAAAGTGACACCAGCGAACCTAAGCTTCTTGTGTGGCAGCGAGGACGAGGCGTCTTCCGGGTCGGGGACGCCGATCCCTGCCGACGCCGCCAGGGTGCACACTCGGGGCTGCACGCAAGCGAGCTGGAGCTCGAGGTTGAGCTCGTCGGGGGAGCGAGGCTCCCACGCTGCCGCTTCCTTTTGGCTGCCGCTCAGGCTCTCCTCCTTACGAGGTATTGTAAAACAAGCAATGGGAGACGGGGGGCAAGGGAGGATTGTTTGGAGGTGTGTTATCGAAAGACCTTTGTAGTCCACTCCGCTGCCCAAGAAGATAATCTAATATACTTCGCTGAGCTGAGGGAATGATTCGACGCGCGTTGAGAGAAATATTCCGCTAGAGAAAGGGGCGTGAAGGGCAACAGAGATAGAGGGAACGGGGGCAGTGGGAAAGAAAGAGAGGATTGTGCGGCCGGTTGGACGCTACCCAGTGACTAACAAACAACGGGGGGGGGTGCGTTGTCTTACGCTGCAGTCCCACCTCCCCATAGCCTGAAAAGGCGCAGCAACCAGATATCATGCAACAATCCTGGCGGAAGCCCCGGAAAGCAGTGATATCCAGGTTTCCTTGATCGTCGCCATCAGTGTGATTTTTTTCTAGGTAATCGCAGTACGCATTTTCCATCCACACCGTTACACTCGGATGATCAAATGCCCCAAAGGATAGTCAAAACCTGCTTCATGGTATGCCTAGGTTGTGGGAGAGGGAGGATGTACACATTGCAAGTTGGGTGGAGCAACGCTGTCGGGTAAGCAGCCGCAGTCGCCATTGATGCTGTGTCTGCGTTTACAGCAGTTGTCTTGTCTGTCTTCCGAAGTCGAGAATCAATGCACACGTTACAATCATATCTTCGACTCCATCAGCGTTAAGTGACAGGTACAAGCACTTACCCCTGCCGTTGCCGACGAACGGCGACGAAACAGTTCAGGGTCTATTTCTTCCGGGTCGAACTGCTCCACGTCGAAGCGGTCGAAAACGCCTATCGCCGCCACCTGGAGTCGTCATTTTTGTTGTTTCCAGAGGAGTAAGCAACAAACTGCGTGGTGAACGAAACCACACCAAGTTCGATTGTTACGATCTGAGAAAGGGAGATACCAAAACGGACGAGGTCGGTACTTGCAACCCGTAGGGATCAGACGTCAGGTATGGCCAGCTCGGTCACGGAAGGCGGTTGGCTAGGGGCGGGTTGGCTTGGGGCGGGTTGGCTTGGGGCTGTCTCTTATACACATCTAGATGTGTATAAGAGACAG